CAGCCCGCCGCGCGGGGCCAGGCGCGTGGGTGCGCGGCACACCGGGCAGGCTACCGGGTCTCCGCCGCCGGCTGTGGCGAGAGACAGGCGAGCCAGGCACTCGAGGCAGAAGACGTGGCCGCAGTCCAGGCGCTTGGGCAGCTTGAACACGCCGTCGAAGGGCGACACGCAGATGAGGCACTCCACTGGGGACGCGGGGGACAGAATGGGGCCCGAGCCTGGGCTGCCGTCCTCCTCCTCCTCGTCCTCCCCTCTACCCGGGGAGCCGGGGCCCGGGCCCTGAGGGGCCCGGGGGCGGCGGAGCCAGGGCGGCCGAGGGCAGGGCATCGGGACCGGACCTGCGGGGAGAGGTGGTCAGGCAGGGAAGGTGCCAGAAGAACGGACGGGTCTCTCGGGAGGGTCAGGGGTTTGACTCTGAAGGGGATCACCCAGCACAGAGCAGGGGTGTCGGGAGAAGGGGGTGGCGAGAACCAAGGAGCAGAAACGGGATGGGGAGGAGACTTGGAGTAGGAGCGGAAAAGGGGGGTGTCCAGGTATGGATAGAAGAAGGATCAGGACTGGGGGGGGGGGCGGGGAAATGGAGAGAGGCGCTCCAAGGAGGACTGGAGACAGGGACGCACCCTGGGATGGACCAGAGTTGAATCAGGCAGATCCTGGGCTAGAGACGGGGGAGGCGTCAGACCTGAGTGACCCCAGGACCAGGGAGGGGACTCTAGGCATGGGGAGGACATAGCATGGAGAGGAGCAACGGTAGGGCCTCCTGGGAGAGCTGGACAGACCAGTGGGAAGACAACCAAGCCCCTGGGGATAAGTGCCCAGTGGCATGGACAGGGCAAGAACGGAAGCCCAGAACAGGGATCCAGGCTCCCAGCAAAGGCAGACCCCAGTTAGCCACTGGCCTCTTCCTACCTGTTGGCACCTCCTCCCTCTGGCTGGCACGTCCCTGCCGTTCTGACCCCAGTCCACCTTCCAGCAGCTGGATACTAAGGGCCCCTCCCCCAGGGAGGGTGCCTACAACGGGGCCACTCCCTCCCGATCCCAGGTTCCCGTCAGACGCGTCTGACTGCCCTCCCCACCCCCCAGGCTAGTGAGCACCAAGCCTGATCTGGGCCGGATGTCGGGGGTGGTGGGAAGGTGGTGGCACAGGTTGACAGAGCAGTGACAGTCCAGGCGCCTCAGGTGGGTGATCACACCCCCCCACACACACACCTGCCTTCCAACACCTCTTCAGGAACCCTCCACCTCCGAGCCCCTGGTGGAGGAACCTGGGGTGGTGGTGACCCCATAGGGTGCATGGGCTGGGCTGCAGCCACAACCTAAGTGGCTGGAGAGGCAGCCTGAGCCCTGGCCAGAACGAAAACGGCGGGACTTCTGAAATCCTGGGGGTGGAACATGGGCAGACACCACAGCACACGGTAAGGGCTGGCCCCTGCCAGCCAGCCCACAAGGGATCAGGAACCCTCGTGGCCCAGACCCCAAGCCTTGGCTTCCTTTCCCTGGGGCTGCTTCCAGGTACACGCCTCTCAGGATGGCAGGCACCCACCAAGCCCCCCTCAAACCAGAGTGACATCTCTGCCAAGACCACCCCACCCCTCTCATTTCCAATACCTGCTGGACACTCCAGGTGGCCAGGCCTGAACCCAGGTACCATGGTTCTGAGTCGGTGGTGCTTTCCTACTGAGTATTTCCCTGGTGAATCCAGGTCCCCACCGGCCAAAAGATGTGCCAGGAATTCAAGCAGCTCTGCAGGACACCCGGGCCATCCCGTCCCCCCGACCCCCACAAGGACAGACAGTGGCACAGGCCCTTTGGGGCCGCCCCAAAGGGCAAACAGGTTTATTGGGGCTGTGGTCAGGCGATCAACGGTTGGACTTGGCCACACGCTCCAATTCGTCCTTCTTCTTGATAGCGTAGGAGTTGGAGGAGCCCTGCAATGAGGCAGACAGTTAGCTCTGAGTGTTGGAGCAGCCTCCCCTAGAAACCCCCAGTGTCCTCACCCACCTTGGCCGCATTGATGAGCTCATCTGCCAGGCACTCGGCGATGGTCTTGATGTTCCTGAAGGCAGCCTCCCGGGCGCCTGTGCACAGCAGCCAGATGGCCTAGGGAGCACAGAGGTCAGCTAAGCATGGGGGCAGGGCTGTGGTGCTCCAGTACCCTGGCCCCCAACAAATGATGGCTGTCATGCTGCCACCCACTGGCCCCCCGGACAAAAGCCACTGTGGGAGCCCACAGCACCACCCAGGTGGCACGCCACCAAGTCTGGGATCATATTGACGGCCACAGAAACAGTGTAGATACACACAAAGGCTGAAGTTGGGACCCTCATGACAGCAGACCTGAGACCCGCCATGACAGGGAAAAGCAATGCAATGTGTGCTATTAGTCCGGACCCTCAATTGAAAATGAAGAGCTGTGAAGTGTATGCTGGGGACAGCTGCATACACTGGGACAGTGACAGAACAGTGGATATTCAATTGCTGTTGAATTCCTGGGGGGTGACAGTGGGGACAGAACATCCTTGTTCTTAGAAGATGCTGACTGAAGCGTTAAGAGGGAAGTGGTTAGAATGTTTGCAATTGATTCTCAAATGGTCCAAGAAAAAAAAATACACACACACTGTGTAAAAATATATGCCCAAATGAAACCACATCAGCCAAATGTGGCCCAGGAGAGAGATCAGAGCTAGAATCTGCCCTGAAGGGTGGGAATCCAGGAAGGCTTCCTGGAGGAAATGACACTACAGGTAAAACATGCAGACAGGGACAAACCTTCCCACTTGCCATCCTCTGCCCCAGGCAGGATTCCAGCAGGACCTGGTGGCTGTTCCTGCTCAGCCACATGTGCCAAAAGCCCCAGGCCCACCTGATTCACACGGCGCAGTGGGGACACATCCACGGCCTGCCGCCTCACTGTTCCAGCTCGCCCAATGCGGGTCGAGTCCTCCCGGGGGCCGCTGTTGATGATGGCGTTCACCAGGACCTGCAGAGGGTTCTAGGACAAAGGGTGGCCATGAGCCTGACACCCGGCCCACATCCCTCCTTCTCACCCCTAAACCTGGGGGGACCCCACGAGCACACCGTGGGGCAGCCACTGGCTTTGGGGTGCACCAAGGACACTATGCCCACCTAGCTTCAGGGCCCTACCTCGCCAGTGAGCAGGTGAATGATCTCAAAGGCATGCTTGACGATGCGCACAGTCATGAGCTTCTTGCCGTTGTTCCGGCCGTGCATCATCATCGAGTTGGTGAGGCGCTCCACAATGGGGCACTGCGCCTTGCGGAAGCGCTTGGCCGCATAGCGCCCAGCACTGTGGGGCAGGTACTTGGCATATTTCTCCTTCACTGCGATGTAATCCTGAGGCCACAGGGAGAGGGAAAGGAGGGACTCAGTCAGGAGCAGGATGGGCCTTGTCCAGGGACCAAGCACCCACTAGGTAGCCTGCACCCACCTGCACGGGCTTAGTTGCGAGCCCCTGCCTACCACGAAAAATAAAACCTAAACAAGTGACTTTACTGAGTCACTAAGAAGAACACTTTCTTTATAATGGGAAGGAGGGATGAACTAAGATTACAGCCATGATCCCAGTTCTGTCCTGAGCGAGTTTCTCGAACACTTCACATAGATGCTGTAGATCAGATAACTCTTTGTTGCAGGGGGCTGTCCTGTGCACTGTAGGCTATTCAGCAGCATCCAGTATGCCAGTAGTACTCTCTCAGTTTTGACATCCCAAAAATGTATCCATTGTCAAGTTTCCCCTAAAGAGGGGGAAAAATCACCCCAAAGGACCAGTGTTTTAAAAGAATCATTCAGCAATCCTACCTATACATACGCTTCCCAAGAAAATGTCTAGAAAACAGCAAACTGTTAGGGGGGTTGGAATCGGAGAAACTACGTGTACATGAAGAGGACTGCTGCCGACAGTCCCACAGTGAAATGTACCCAAGTGCATTCTACCACACACATGAGAACACGTACAAACGATGTGTCTGAATGTAAGGAAGAATAGGGGAAGAACAGAGGGGATTCCGACACTGGCACACAGTCTGGTGTCTGCCCTGCAGAGAACCATCAGCACAAAGAGCAAGTGGACGGGTTCGTGCAGCGCTTTACTGTGCAGGAAAAAACTGCAAACACCAAATGTCCTGCAAGGGTTTGGTCAAATTGTCCGGCCCCACAGCGGAGCCCTGCACAGCCTTCAAGACACAGTGAGGACTCTGGTACCACACTGACTTCAGCCCAAGAGACCACCAGGAAAAAGAGAAAAAAGCTTTTACATTAATGGGTTGTACAAATAAAGAAAGCATGGAAGCGCTGCGGTGGCCAGGGGTTCGCCGGTTGGGGTCGCGGGCGTGCACCGACGCACTGCTTGGCAAGCTATGCTGTGGCGGCGTCCCATATAAAGTGGAGGAAGATGGGCACAGATGTTAGCCCAGGGCCAGTCTTCCTCAGCAAAAAAGAAGAGGATCGGCAGATGTTAGCACAGGGCTGATATCACACACACACCAAAAAAAGCAAGGAAGCAAACACATACGTGACACAGGCCACATGTGGCCCGCAAAGACTAAAACATTTACTACTCAGCCCTTTAAGTTGGTAGTCCCCCCCGACAACAAGCCCAGGAAGGAAAACAGATCTACAGCCATTCAGAGTGAAAGAGAGGGCTAAATTCTCCAGTAAATATGGTGACTAAATCCTATGATATATTTAGAAGCAACAAAAAACGCTTTAATTCTTTTTTTTTTCCTGAGATCAGCCCTGTGCTAACATCTGCCAATCCTCCTTTTTTTTTTTTTTTTTTGCTGAGGAAGACTGGCCCTGGGCTAACATCCGTGCCCATCTTCCTCCACTTTATATGGGATGCCGCCACAGCATGACTTGCCAAGCAATGTGTCGGTGCGCGCCGGGGATCCAAACCGGCGAACCCTGGGCCGCTGCAGTGCTGAGCGCGCACTTAACCGCTTGCGCCACCAGGCCGGCCCCTGCTCTAATTCCTTTTAAAATGAGAACAGAAAAAAATGAATATAATCCAACCTGAATTTTACTCGTCTTGGTTACCAAAGCAGTCACAAAATACAATTTTTTTTTAATGATAAGCCCACAGAAGTCCTAATGAGGCCAAGTGTAAAACAATATGGGGTTAAGATAAAATGGCAGGACTCCCAATTCCCTATTTCAAAACCTGTTACAAAGCTACAGTAACCAAGACAGTGTGATACTGGCCTAAGGACAGACATACAGACCAACAGAATAGAATTCACAATCCAGAAGTAAACCCATACATCTGTACTCAAACAATTTTCAACAAGGGTGCCAAGACCATTCAATGCAGGAAATATTCTCAACAAATGGTGCTGGGATACATGCACATACAGCCACGTGCCGCATAAGGACTTTCCGGTAAACAATGGACCACAGAAGCAGTCCCATAAGACTGGAACCATACAGGCCAGGTGTGTAGTAAGCTATACCATCTAGGTTTGTGTAAACACACTCTATGATGTTCCCACAACGACAAATTTCTCAGAACACGTCTCCGTCATTAAGTGGAGCGTGACTACAGTGCATAAGACAGATTCAAGTTACAAACATTTATGGCGTAAATCTATTAAATGAAATGCACAAAACAACAAAAAACAAATGATGCTGGATTTCCACATGCAAAAGAATTATGTTAGACCCTTACATTTTAAAACGGTTACAATAGTTGATTTTGTTATGTGTCTTTTACTACCAAAACAAAAACAAAAACCACCGGGGGGCTGTGATGCTCCCTCTGAGGAAGGAACCCTCTCCTTACAAAAACTATAACAACCTCTCAACAAGAAAGGAGAAAAAGTGAACGTGATGGGTGTGCGGGTCCAGGGGTCTCTTTTACCTGTCACATCAACTCCTGACTTAGCGGGATAGCTATGAGTTTCAATTGACACCCCCCCCCCCCAGAAAAAATCCA